GGCGGCGCCCAGGCTGCGGGCTGGAGCAGAGCAATGAGCGGGTCACAGGGTCCGCCCCCGCCCCCGGGCAGCTGCGTCCCCTGCACCCGCCCTGGGCAAACCCCGCTCTGCCCCGCCCCCACTGCCGGGGGAAAGGGCTCAGGGGTGAGGGGGAGAGCGGGGTATGCCCAGGGCGGGGGCAGGGGACGCAGGCTGGAACGAATAGCTGCCAACACCCTAGCAGTAGCCGCAGGCTGGGGCTGCGATCTAATATGCTCTGTGCGGGCCAGGAGCTCTCTGACATCCCAGAGCCCTGCCAGGAGGGAGGGCTGTGGAGAGCCGGGCTTTGCGGGCCCATGTAGTTTCGCAGAAGGAAGATACTTCCCAGGCGCTCATTTATGTGAAGTAACACGGCACGGGGGTTGGAATGGGAAGACAGACGTCTTGGACTCCGAGGCTGGGATTTCTGTGGACTGCGCGTTGGTGGTGAAGACCAACGCTAAACTGAGATGCTAATATGAAATATCATCAACAGCGTTTCTTGCTGCAAATGTACAACTGAGCTTGCCCGTGCCTATCTCATAGGAAATGTCCATGGCTAGCCTAGCTTTCCTAATTGTGGCTCTCAGAATTTGCTTGAAAGCTGATTCATTTTCAGGTATATAAAAGGGTGTCACAAGGAGGAGGGAGAAAACTTGTTCTTCCTGGCCCCTGAAGATAGAACAAGAAGCAATGGGCTTAAACTGCAGCAAGAGAGGTTTAGGTTGGACATTAGAAAAAGTTTCTGTCGGGGTGGTTAAACACTGGAATAAATTGCGTAGGGAGTTTGTGGAAGCTCCATCTCTGGAGATATTTAAGAGTAGGGGTATGTCTACACTACAAAGTTAATTCGAACTAACAGTCATTAGTTCGAATTAACTTTAATAGGCGCTACACATGCAAACCGCTAGTTCGAACTAAATTTGAACTAGGTAAACCTCATTCTACGAGGACTAACGCCTAGTTCGAATTAAGTAGTTCGGATTAAGGGCTGTGTAGCCACTTAATTCGAACTAGTGGGAGGCTAGCCCTTCCCAGCTTGCCCTGGTGGCCACTCTGGGCACAACCAGGGAAACTCTTCTGCCCCCCTCCCAGCCCCGGAGCCCTTAAAGGGGCACGGTCTGGCTACGGTGCCCGTGCTAGGTGCAAGCCTGCCAGCACCCAGCCAGCAGACTGCACCTGGCATGGCATGGCATGAGCCAGCCACCCACTGCCACCCAGCCCTCCGCCTCTTCCCGGGACCAGGCTGGCGGCTCCCCGGAGCCTGCCCGGGGCCGCAAGAGGGGGGCGCCCGCCTGGTCTAGTGCGGAGATCGTGGACCTCATCCAGGTTTGGGGGGAGGCCTCCAACGTCCACGATCTCTGCACTACGCACAGGAAAGCGGCCGTCTAGGGCAGGATAGCTGCCAACCTGGCCACCAAAGGCCACATGCAAACCCAGGAGCAGGTTTGCATGAAAATCAAGGTGGTCCAGTGAGACCCCGACCCTGAGCCCTGAGCTTAGAACATGAGAACATAAGAATGGCCGTACTGGGTCAGACCAAAGGTCCATCTAGCCCAGTAGCCTGCCTGCCAACAGCGGCCAACACTAGGTACCCTGGAGGGGATGGACCAAAGACAATGACCAAGCCATTTGTCTCGTGCCATCCATCTCCAGCCTTCCACAAACAGAGGCCAGGGCACCATTTCTACCCCCTGACTAATACCTCCATGACTTTATCTAACTTCTCTTTAAACTCTGTTATAGTTCTAGCCTTCACAGCCTCCTGTGGCAAGGAGTTCCATAGGTTGACTATTTGCTTTGTGAAGAAGAACTTTCTTTTATTAGTTTGAAGCCTGCTACCCATTCATTTCATTTGGTGTCCTCTATTATGAATTAATTCCTTTGCCATTCATCTTCATTAATTAGCTGGGGGTGGTCTAGAGCAGCACTTCATTTGTGGACCTATACAATTGTGAATTACCCCTTTCCAAATCTTAGGTGTAGTCTCCAGACCCCTATGGGGTCCACACAGACCAGAGGTTGAAAGAACTGTCATAGCACCTTCCTTTTTCTGCTGATGAAATGTGAACTGCAAATAGACCCAGACAGTGATGGTTCCATTCAAATGCAAGGCAACAGCAGGTGACCTTGTGCTCCCCAGCAGTCATGGCTTTCTCTACAGGGGTGAAGTGCACCTAGAATAGAGTTAAGTTCTTATCCACAAAAGCTGAGTAGCCAGTGGTGTGTTTCTACATTATAAAAAGTTTTTCACTGTCTTGACTGACCTCAGGGCCAGTTCCAGGGTCCCATTATAGGGAAGAGCAAGTTGAAGCCTTGGATGTCACTACGTAAAATACAATGAACCTTCTTGGAGTCCAGTGACTAGTTAGATTCATGGAAAATCTTGGATTTTAAAAGTTTTGAAAAGTAAAATGTGAAAAGTATCAGTATTTGTATGTGATTTATAATATATAAATAGTACCTGGGGGGAGGGGGGTTGTTTTTTGTTTTCCCTAGGAATATATCAATACTTATTACTAGTACAACAAAAACAGATGAAAATTGGTAGGAAAACTATAATTTTTCTGGGTAAATATTGAGGTTTATTTTAGGGGCAGAAGGATTGGGGGAAATTATTAAATAGATTAATGAAATTCGGTGGCTACGTCTAGATTGCATCCCTTTTACGAAAATCCCTTTTATGCAAATTAGATGTATCACAATTGCTAATGAAGCGGGGATTTGAGTCTAAGAGATATCTTAAAATAAGGGATAAGGGATCTTTCGGAAAAGGCTTTATTTTCCAAAAGATCTGCGTCTAGACTGGCGCTTTTTTCCGGCAAAGCTCCGTGCCGAAAAAAAGCGGCAGCCATTTTTATGCAAATGAAGTGGGGGAGATTTAAATCCCTGCTTCATTAGCAATTGCGATACGTCTAATGGGATGAGAAAAAGGGATGCAATCTAGACGTAGCCAATATGTTTTGCTGCAGAACTATGAAATGCCACCTCTGAATTTAAGACAACGATACATCTCTAATCCTCAAATAGAATTTTCATTGAATAAACTGTTTATTGTTGTAAACTTAGAACTATTAGCATATACATATTTACATTCAATAACTGGGCAACACCATTTGCAATACATACACTCAACTTCATCCTGTTCTCCTGATAAATACATACACTCAACTTCATCCTGTTCTCCTGGTAGGTTTTGTTTTGTTTTGTTTATTTAGAATTTTTTAATGCTTCCTTGTATTCTGAAACACATCCTGATATAAAGTTTTGATTTTTTTCCCATTTTAATGGATTAGATCGTTAAACCATTATCTACTAACAGCCTGAAGCATGTACTTGGGCATAAGATTCATCAGTATTTTCAGATGTGCATGTGCTTCAGAGCTTGCATGAGTGCCTATTTGTTTGAATATACCTTTTAAACTAATACATAGTCTTATTTCCACAGGCTGCTTTTCATATATACATAATTTATTATCCTAATACATATATTTCTGCAATGTATTCTGCTTTCCTAAGAAGACAAGTTATCAGGAAAAGGGAATAATACTTTTTGAAAAACCCAGGGTTTTTGAGTAAAAATTGGTTTAAATTGAAAATGAAAGGGCTTGTATACAAAGGATGAAGCCTCTCCAATCTGCTCCTGTTTTGCTGCTTAACATGACTTTGAACACATTTCGGTCTTTCGCAATAATTATGGGGTCCCTTGACAATCACATTTGTGGGTGAAAATGTCCCTTTTCCCCTTCAGTAGTGCCAGGCCCGAATCAGCTAGAAGATTATGACCCAGAGAGCTGATGGAAATAAAAAATACATTAAAAAACTTTTAAAAAAGACTATCTTTCTAAAAGCACATCGAAAGACTGGAAAGATTGGATGGTTATGAACAATTCAAGGTAGTTGCTGTTATCCATTCAAACTTTCTCCTAAATTGCTGGGTTAAAATATATTTATTTTTGACTTTTTGGTGCACTTTATTATTTTTTGTATTTTAGTGCACTTTTAGTCTTTTAGTACTCACTACCCCATCTTCCCTGAATGACTTATCCTGCCCATCTTCAGCCTGGAACCCGCTCCAGCCTTGAGAAGGTGAAAAGGATGGCTGGCAGTTCCCAGGGGACACAGCCCACCACCACACCTTCCCCTGATGCCTTATTTTGTTTGGATCGGTTTCATTGATCTGTATGCCTTCTGAAGAACATACTCAACTAAGAGCCACAAATGGTCAAGCCGGCGCAATGTATTAAGAGCCACTCTCTCGCAACTGCTCTATCCACCATGGACCCTTGTAGTTTGTGGATGGTGACTGCATAAGCCTGGATAACTGGAAGCATTCACCGCTTCACAAAGCCGTATCCCAAATTTGCTTGAAATTGACATGTGATTGGCTCAATGATGTGCTTCGGACATCACCTTCAAATTCAATTTCAGCTGTAGGGATATCAGTTTTGTGGATTTGTTTGCGGCGGAAGTAGGGCCATATTATATTGGTGATGGTGCCAATTTTGCCATTGACCAAGCCTTTTGCTTGGTCAACATTGTACTGAAGCATAACTTTAGCACCCAGATGTATTACAATTCTCTTTGGAATGCCCGTTTGATTGATGTTTGTTGGGGTAGCTTGATAAAGGCTAGGGACTCGTCTTCATTGAGGATATCTAGCGCTGTGATTGTGAACATTTGAAGGGTGGGCGGGACTCAACCCCAAATGCCCTATTCCAGAAGCCCTTCCAACACAGATACAATGCACACCCCATATGTTCACAGATGTATATGCATGTGTGTGTAAACGTTGAAAATCCCATGACAGACAGATGGACAAGAATGGTGGCTGTTTAACAGAAAGCTTGTCTAATAATAAGTTAAAAGACAATCAAATGCAGAGAAAAGAGAAACTCTCTGCCAGCAAGGGTGCCATTTACGGGGGGAGGGAATGAGGCAGTAGCCCCCCATTAAGTTTGAACCCCTGGATTTCATACTTGTTTCTTAAAGCTGCATACCCTGACTCCAAAGGCAGTTCTTAAATACAACAGAGTTTGAGCTGATTGTAGCTTTGCCTTTGGGGCAGAGAGTTTGTTATACAAAGAGAGAGGCAAGTGATTAACAAAAGACTGGTCATTCAAGTAAGTGAAAGATTGTTAGATTGTCATGAAAACATTGTTGGGTATTCTACTTTAAAAATAGAGGGTAGGGGAGAGTGAGAATGAGTGTTGTGCTGCTGGGATTTACATTTGGACTGGTGCTGTTAAACTTATAAATGTTCTTGAAAAAAGAGTAAACAGTGAGATGGCAAAATTTGCAGATGATACAAAGTTACTCAAAATAGTTAAGTCCAAAGCTGACTTCAAAGAGTTACAAAGGAATCTCACAAAACTGGGTGAATGGGCAACACAAGGGCAGGTGGAATTCAGTGTTCATAAATACAAATTAATGTCATGGAAAAATATAATCCCAACTATTCACACAAAATAATGGGGTCTAAATTAGCTGTTACCATTCAAGAAAGAGCTCTTGGCATCATTGTGGATAGTTCCCTGAAAACATCTGCTCAATATTCAGTGACTGTCTAAAAACTAAAAAACTAACAGAATATTGGGAATCATTAGGAAAGCAATTTTAATAAGACAGAAAATATATTGCCTCTATATAAAGTCATAGTATGCCCACATCTTGACTACTGTATGCAGATCTGGTCATCCCACCTAAAAAGGATATATTGGATTTGGAAAAGGTACAGAAAGGGCAACAGAAAGGATTAGAGGTAAGGAATAGCTTCTATATGAGGCGAGATTAACAAGACTGGGACTTTTCAGGTTGTAAAAGAAATGACTAAGGCAAGGAGGATAGTCTAGAAAATCATGAATGGTGTGGAAAAATAGAATAAGGAAATGTTATTTATTCTTTCACTAAAATAACACAAGAAGCTGACCCAATCAAATGTATAGGAAGCAGATTTAAAACAAACAAAACAAATGATTTCTTCATAGTCAACCTGTGGAACTGTTTGCCAGGAGATGGCAGAAAGGCCCAAACTATAATAGGGTTTCAATAAAAAAAATCCAAGGATGATAGGTCCATCAATGACTACTAGCCAGAATGGTCAGGGATGCTGTCCCTAGCTTCTGTTTGCCAGGAACTGGGAATGGGGGACAGGGGATGGATCATTTGATGATTGTCTCTTCTGTTCATTCCTTCTGAAGCACCTGGCATTGTCCACTGTTGGAAGACAGAATACTGGGTTAGATGGACCATTGGTCTGACTCAGTATCGCCAATCTGATCTTATATAGAGCCCAAATGGATTTGCCTCAGGCTTTACCTCACTAAACCCACTCCCTTTCCAGAGCTGAGATAGAGCACAAGAGTCCTTGAAAGTCATTATGACTTTCGTGGGCCCTAGGCACTTTTGCCATCATGGGCCCCTTCCTGTCTATCCGGTGAGGCAATGAGGACTATAAGGGACAGATTTCTAAAGCGTATCAACGTGCCATGCATTCATTGATCTGTGTTGTCTCTGTGCATACTAAATGTTCCCTAGTATGTTTTAATGTAGTACCACTTGAAACAAAACGACGTAATAGTGCATATATCAAAGTGTTCTCCATTTTTTTATTACTTAAAAGGTACGTATTATAAGTAATTTCATCAGTAAATTATCATCTATTTCGTTAGGGATTAATTTATATAAATAATTTATTAATTTTGCAAATACGGGATTGTTATTCACTAGATACGTGTGAATAAATTTGAATGGTATGAAGTGCACATGTATAGTTTATCGTGTCTATATTGTGTGCTTAATTATAACATTTGAAAAAACGGTTACATCTCAAATATACTCACCTTATTTCAGAATTGATGAGAAGTAGTTCCATAAAATTATTATATGTATACATATGCAAGAAATTATTCAGTAAAAATGCAAAAGTGTATTACTGATGGAAATTTCGTTATGGTGTAATATCCGATTGTCGAGTTGAGCTCTAACTTTCGATTTGAATTATTGCAATTAATAATATATTATAAGCAATTAAATTTTTAAATACTGTGATTTTTTTTGTATTTTAATAAACATTTTTGTGGGCCCTAAAAGTTTCGTGAGCACAAGGTACTTATGCCTTCATGGGTCCTTCCCACCATAATAATATCAATATTAAAAAATATTTTTGATATAACTTTAAATACTTCAACATTTTTTTTCTGTTTTAGGCAAAATTTAATAGATTTTTCTGGGCCCTAAAAGTTTCATTTTTTCCTGATGTGAGAAAAAAATTAAAACATTTTTTTCGACCCTAAAAGTTCATTTTTTTCTTCTGATTTTAAAAGCAGTTAAAACATTTTCGTGGGCCTGTAAAAGTATCGTGGGCCTTAGGCACTGTGCCTATTGTGCCTAATGGATAAGTCAGCCCTGCTGACAGTCTCTCTCTCTGTCCACAGAGTTAGTAACAAACTTTAAGGCTAACCAGTGTCCCTAAGTGACCTGCCACAAGACATCAGAACATGTTAATATTAGAGCTGAGTGGGTCTAAAATTTATTTCATTTTCTTTCTCTTATACAGGAATTAGATATGGTACTCCTGTCAGCTAATCACTAATTATCTGCCAAAAAAAATAGATTATTCCAGGGCCTTAGTAGCCCCAGAAAGAGGTGATGTGGGTGGGAGGAAGGAAAAATGGGAACAGTCCTTCCCCCCACATTTGCTGCTTGTCTTGTACTGAGCATGCTCAGTAACATTGCTGAAGCTACTGTTCTCAGTCTGCCTCCACCTCCATGCTCCCACTCTCCCCACCCACCATCAGGGCATGCACAGGTCGCTCTCCCAACCAAAATCTGAAAAGGTGCCCCTGTCTGCCAGTGGAAAGTTGCAAGAGAAGAGTCTATTGCCTCCGCACTAGCTGTCCTGGCTCTAGTACAAGAAGGAAGGAGATAGACAGAAAGACGCATGGTAGGACAGAATTATGCCATGGCTGATCCTTTGCTGGTGTAAGATCCCTGAGGAGATCCTCAGGGGTTTCGCACCAACAGCATGTATTGTTGCCCTGTCTTCTGTCAGAGCTGGAAGTCTGTGAATCAGACAGTCAACCCTGACTCCTTGTAGCCCCTGTTCTCTACTCCACCCAATGAAAATCAAAGCTGTTGTCTTTTTCTGCATTTATTTGACAACTAACTAGAGAAGACTGCAGGGTTAATATTGTTATGATATAGGATGTTAATGGCTGCCATATAGAGATTCTTTAATCAATTGACACTAACATACCTAATAAAGCTGATGGGTGTGCTAACCACCTTTTTTTCAGGCAATAGTGGAAGAAGTGAAATCCTTTTATGGAGTGAAATAACCAGAAACAATATGAAGCTACTGCCCAAGCATCTGGGACACATGGAGAAAACTGAGCACAATGAAGCCACATCAGTTGATACATTTCCTGGAATGATTGTAATTCAGAGGTTTAGTGATTGACTGCAGCTGCAAGTGACTGACAGAGTATGAGGGCCCTGAGAGCAAGCAGAGCTCCTTGGTGCATGGGACTGGCTGAAAAGGCAGAGTTGGAATTAATGAGCAAGGTATTTATGCCAGCTGTTATTTGTAAATAAACAGATTTGCACCAAAGAAATGCCTGATGCATCAATTTCTCATTCTAATGGAAACCAAGGCCTTGATTATTGGCTATGTGGGGCAAGTAGGGTTGCCAGATGGTTTCAGAAAAAATACCAAACAAAAAAAAACACCCCAGGAAAAAGTTTATTGAGCAAAAACATAAAAAACCAAAACCACCATGGCCCTTCTAAAAACCGTGTGGTGAGGCTTTTGGCCCTAGCAGGCTGCCGGTGGCCACCCACCATCTTCCCTCCCTGCGCCAGGCTGGACAGCTCCTGAGTAGGCACTGGGGTTGCCAGGCTGCCTCTGTATTGAGCCGGACAGCCCGGGATTTTTGCCTCCTGGCTGGGAAAAAATCAGAAAGTACCGGACATTTTAGGTGTCTGGTATTTTCTGAATTTTTTTACTGGACAGGAGGAGAAAATAACGCACTGTCCTGTTTAATACCGGACACCTGGCAACGCTAGGGGCGAGTGACAACCATGTTGACCAAAAATGCTCAGAATAGTCATCATTCCTCTTTTACCTCCAAACTGAAATGCAAGATGCTGGTAGAGATGTGCAAAAAAATAAAGAAGTACAATTAAGAGAACAGTTTTCTTTCTTTTTCCATTCTAGGTATTTATTCCTTTTTACCTTTCCTGCCATGTCCGATCCATTCTATCTTCATTTCATGTTTTTTGTTTACCAACTCTTTTTTCTTCCTTTATTCTTTCCTTTCAACTCTTTTTGCCTTTGAAAATCAGCATCTCTTTTTTGTTGGTGCCCGTAAAAGTCTGGTAAGTTACTGCTGCTCTGAACATTAGTGTGCTAGGAATAATAAATATGATATAGGTAAATGTCCCTCCAGACTGTGGAGGATATGTTGGCAACATGTTAAACATATTTTACTACTAGGTGAATAACATTTTGAAGCTAACTATTATGTGAACCTAGATTTCTATTCCCAACATGTAGTATTTAGGAAATGACGTTTCTGCTTGACTTGTAGCAGAGATGTTGCAGCTGCAATTTTCTTTACCACCTTTCTTGCCTTTGTGAAAATAAATCAACGCCACTTTGTGGTAGTAAAACAGAGTAGTAAACATCCATTTCTTTGACGTTTCTTTTCTTCTTGTCAAAATAAATGCTAGCATCTGCACAAATTAAACATATGTGAAATGAATTTTTCACTTTTTTGATGCCAACAAATACTGACTGCAGCAGGCAGCACAGCTGCGATAGATATCACATCCCCATGCAGTGACTTTGAGGGCCATTGTATTTAATTTATGAATGGTTTATATATGAGTATGACAGGGGTATGTTTTTGTCTGTAACCACAGCTCCTTCAGGAACTAAAATAATGTGTGTCGAGTGGGGAAGGGGTTATTAAAGTGAGTTACCAAAACTAAACAGCTGGTTCACACTGGTGTATTTTAGTATAAAAGAGTGATCTGAATTGTTACAGGATCTTTTCTACTCCCGCAAATGGGCAGGGCCTTCTGCTCAATAGGGGCCCTACCCCTTGTGGAAGAGTTGGGAAGACCCCTCTGGATTCTTCTATTTTAATTTTTTATATAGTTTTATATTGTGTTTTTAAACATTTAATAAGCTGCCTTAAATATTTTAAATAGAGAGGTGGGGTAACATATTTTAAATAAATAAATAGTCTTTGACCAATCAGGGGTCCATACAGGTCCACCAACGGGGGTGGGGGGCTGTAAATGAGACAGTTATCCTGGGGCCCAGTGATTCAAAGAGGTCCAGGACTTGTGGGCACTGGTACTTCAGCAGTGGCAAGAGCCCCGGTCCCTTTTAATTGTTGCTGCAGCACAGTGTGGTGCGCTCCAGGCTATTCTGAAGGGAGTAAATGCCTCAATCCAGGTGGCACTGAGGGCTGGCTACCCTCCAGCACTGCCTCTTCCACCCAAGGCCCCACCCCTTCCAGGAGCATGGAGCTGCACCCCTACACACCTTACCCAGGTGCCTGTGAAGGTGTCAGATCCCCTGGGCCCATAAGACTGATGGGTGTGCTTAAATCTGTTTGTTTTCAGATGTTCTTTTTTCTGTAATGCCTTTACCTTAAGAATAAATGGGCTTACTTAGAAAGAGTTGTGTCATAATGTGTGATTGCTGGCAATACTTCTCCTAACCTTTAGAGAGAAAGCGAAGCACAGGCAGTAGCCAGTAGGCAGACTGGCTTGCTGGGGATGTCACAGCACAGCATAAGGCACAGAACAGTGCAGCCTTTAAACTGTTCGGTCAGAAGGGAATGGGATAAAGGTTCCTGCCCATCAACAAATGAGACCTAGAGCCCTGAGATTTGACTGGGAACCCCTGAAGTAAACTACAGGGTGAGGCTGGAAGACCATAGGGGCAGTTACGCAGAAACTGTTATAGGAGGCATCTGAAAGCAAGACAAGGCAAAACTTATAGCCAGGATGTTATGCCTGTTGAAGGCAAGTTCTAGCACCACTACAGATTCATCATGCACCAACAAAACTAAGCAAGGGCACAACTGTGATGAACAGGAGTATGAAATAGGTGCATTACTGAGACAGGAGTACTTAATAAGAAATGTTTTGCCAGAAGGGCTAAACTCAGAGGTATGGCAAATAAGTCTCACTTTAGCTACCCTAAGTTGACTCTTGAAAGTGTACCAGCACAATTCAGGGTACGTGATTGGATGTGAGCACCCTTGAACTCTGCATGGGGAGTCCCAGACAAATTTACCGCCTGGCCCAAACTATGCTCAGTATTGGGATCACAAAAAATAATGTAACTAAGGGGAAATGTGGCTTCACCAGGAGGGATTTAAGGCTGGTAAGGAGAGAGGCAAGGCACGTTTGAGGCTTTTGACTAGCAGTGCTGGAAAAACAAGTATTTTAATAGAGACTGGGTCTGTTAAACAGGAGCAGATATAGGATCAGGGCCTATGAAAAATAACATACAAATGAGGCTCCATCTAGGGGCATAGGACATTCCACATGGAGCCTATTACTGGATTGCAGGTCCAGATCCTTAAGGTATTTAGATGCCTAGCTCTCAATAAAATCAATTGACAAGGGGTAGGCAAATACTGGCCTGCAAGCCGGCTCCGACTCCCCATTTTTAGCCCCTCACAGGTTGCTGCGACTATATTTACCTGAGCCTCTGCAGTTATGTGTGATTACAGCTCCCGTTGGTCATGGCATTGTCCCCGACCAATGGAAGCTGCAGAAAGTGGTGTCCCGGTCTACGCCACTTCCTGTAGCTCCCATTGGCTGGAAATGGCAATCTACAGTCAATAGAAGCTGCAATTGCATGTAAATACTGTGATGGCAGCCTGCTGGGGCGGTGAACCACAGCCATTTTATTACCCCTCAGGCCATGGTGTGGGGCCCTGACTTTGTATGATTGCAGAGCTCCTTTAAAATCAGTGGGGCTACTCATACAGATCAGTTTACCTGATCAGGGCTTACATTGTATGTAAGTGTCTCAGGGCAAGGACTGTCTTCATGTATTGTACAGCACCTAGCACAACAGGGCCCAGATCCCGATGGACGTCCGGGCATTACCACAATATGAATACTCAGTAATTAATCAACAATTTTTTATTTTTTTCACTGATATAAGAAGAAAAACTAAACCAAATTCAGTCCTAAGCTTAGCTAAAGAAAACTGAAATAATACCTACAGCTCTTCCATTTCAGAGCTAAGTCAAAGAAAATTCCCAGACATAGCTTTCAGGATTGCACATGATTGACACAGCAACTGTACTGATTGACAGACATTTTACCGCAAAAGACAGAAGCAAACTATAATATTGATATTTCCCCATTTGCCATGTGCCATCAAAGCTGTCAAAGGTGAAGTTATGTTGCATGAGCTACTTTTAGTCTTGATGGACAGTGGCTTCCGCTCCCCCACAGCTGTAATATATAAATTCCTTCTGTCATTGCTGCTTCTATTTAACATCTGTGTATTACCATTATAGGACATTGTGAAACTGACACAGGCTGTTGTGCAAGAAATATTGCCAATGACACATAACTCCATTTCTTTTTCCTTCAGTGTAAACAGTGCTATTTATTCCAGTGTATCAATGAGTCTGGCACTTGGAAAAAGGATAGCTGTCTCAGCATTAACCAAGAAAAGACCTCAGAGGTGCTAATTGAGAGAAGGAATTCTTCAAGGGCTGGAGATCACCATCCCTTTCTCAATGCCTGATACAGTCATCTCCTCCAAAGAGTTAAGTAACTGCAGATTTTTAGTCATGTTGGACTCATAACTGACTCTTGACACCCAAATACCAAAAGGGCTTTCTTCCATCCATCTTAAGTCTAGATATAGCCATGTAGTAGAAGAAAATAAAGACTTCTCTGCAACCAGCCCTGGGCTCTGGTATTTTCTCATAAAGGAAGTAAAAAAGAGTTCCAGTGTAAGATGCATATTTTCACTATAGCATACCCCAAAGGCTCTAAGAGGAAATGTTGGCTCGCCATAATTATTTATGATTAAACCATTGCTTTTAATCTATACAAAAGTGATGACTGTATTGAATTAGTGATAATTACAACTGATGCCTTTAAGATAATCCAGGAAGGAATCAATAAAAAGAAGTAATAAGTTTCTAGGCAGTTATAATTAGAGATACATTAACTGGTTCAAATACAATAATTATTTCACCTAAAACTTAAATTGAACGCAAACTCTGACTCTTTTGTGTTGTAAATTGAGACTTTTCAAAAGCATCTTAACAGAGGCCCAACTTAAATGTATATTGCAAATTAAAAACCACAATAAGAGAACCAAAAAAGTGCCACTGTGGCTTAACAACCAAGTAAAAGAACCAGAGAGAGATTAAAAAACCCATAATTTAAAAAATGGAAGTTAAATCCTAGTGAAGAAACTAGAAAGGAGCATAATCTCTGTCAAATCTAGTGTAAAAATATAATAAGAAAAGCCAAAAAGGAGTTAGAAAGAACAGCTAGCCAAAAACTCAAAAAGTAATAGCAATTTTTTTTAAGTACATTGGAAGCAGAAAGCCTACTAAACAACCAGTGGGGACATGGGACAGTTGAGATGCTAAAAGAGGACTCAGAAATGTTAAGGTAATTGTAGAGAAACTAAATGAATTCTTTGCTTCGGTCTTCATTGCTGAGATCAGGGAGATACCCAGCCCTGAGCCATTCTTTTTAGGTGACAAATTTGAGGAATTGTCCCAGATTGACATGTCATTATAGGAGATTTTGGGATGAATTGCTAAACTAAACAACAACAAATCACCGGAACTAGATGGCATTCACCTGAGTTCTGAAAGAACTCAAATGTGAAATTGCAGAACTATTCACTGTGATTTGTAATCTGTCCTTTAAATTAGTTCTGTACCTAATGACTGGAAGATAATTAACGTGATGCCAATATTTTAAAAGGGCTCTAGAGGTGATCCTGGCAATTACAGACCAGTATGTCTAATATCAGTACTGGGAAAATTAGTTGAACAATAGTTAAGAATAGAATTATCAGACACATGGATGAACATAATTTGTTGAGGAGAGTCAACACGGTTTCTGTAAAGGGAAATCATGTCTTACTTCCGGTCATCTGAAGAAGTGGGCTGTGCCCACGAAAGCTCATGATACCATCTACATGTTTTGTTAGTCTTTAAAGTGCTACCAGAACATTTGTTGTTTTTTAAGTTTATCCTGTATAGTTTAACTGAGCTACCCCCCTGAAGCTTCTAATCTACTAGATTTCTTTGAGGGGGTCAACAAGCATGTGAACAAGGGGAATCCAGTGTATGTAGTATACTTAGATTTCCAGAAAGCCTTTGACAAGGCTCCTCACCAAAGGCTCTTAAGTAAAGTTAGTTGTCATGGGATAAGAGGAAAGGTCCTCTCATGGACTGATAACTAGTTAAAAGATAGGAAACTAAGGGCTGGAATAAATGGTCAGTTTTGAGAATGGAGAGAGTTAACTAGTTGTGTTCCCCAAGGTTCCATACTGGGACCAATCCTATTTATAAATTATCTGGAGAAAGGCGTAAACAGTGAGATAGCAAAATTTGCAGATACTAAACTGCTCAAGATTGTTAAGAACAAAGCAGACTGTGAAGAATTTCAAAAGGGTCTCACAAAAGTAGGTGATTGGGCAACAAAATGGCAAGTGCAGTTTAATGTTGGTAAATTAAAAGTAATGCATATTGGAAAAAATAATCCCAAAATATACATACAAAATGATGGGACGAATTTAGCTATAACCATTCAAGAGAAAGATCTTAGAGCATGCCTACACTAGGAAATTATTTCAAAATAATAACTCCCAAAATAACTATGTTGAAATTATGTGTCCACACTAAAGGGAAGCCTTGAAATTGGTCTGAGGCAGGCTCCCTTAATGTGTATGCACTACTTCGACTGAGAGCCCCAGAAAGCACTGGGGAGTAATTACTTTGAATGACTCTGGGGAGTAGTTATTTCAAGCAGCTGTGGATCATCCACACTTCTGCTATTTTGAAATAACTATTTCTAAATAAGCATTATTCCTCGTGGAAAGCAGGAGTTTTTATTTTAAAATAACCAGCCCCTTATTTTGAAATAAAAGACTTGGTATATGTTCACCCCATTTGTTATTTTAAAATAAGGGGAGTTATTTAGAAATAACTGCCTAGTGTAGACCAAGGCTTAGAGTCATTGTGGATAGTTCTCTGAAAACATCCACTCAGTGTGCAGTGGCAGTCAAAAAAGCAAACAGAATGTTAGGAATCATTAAAAAGGGGATGGAGAATAAGACAGAAAATACCTTATCACCTCTATATAAATCCATGGTACACTCACATCTTGAATATTGTGCCATGGTGTGACGGATCGGGCAATGTCTGGGCATAGCTGAGTGTAAGGGGACTGTTACCCCTTACTAAAACTCTGTGGGAGTTTTTTGGTTTACCAGCTTCAGAAGGGGAAGGGTTCATGAGACTGACAGACCCCAGAGACAATGGAAAGCAGTCAACACTCCAGCTCAGCCTGACTGACAGGTTGTAAGTGGGGATTGTTCTGGCTCTCTCTCTGAGCAAACAGGGAGCTGAAAGAGCAGAGCGGGTTCATGAGACTGACAGACCCCAGAGACAATGGAAAGCAGTCAACACTCCAGCTCAGCCTGACTGACAGGTTGTAAGTGGGGATTGTTCTGGCTCTGTCTCTGAACAAACAAGCTGTGTGCAGAAGAGGTCCTGCAAAGACAGAGAGCTGAAAGAGGAGTACAAGAAGAAGTCCTGCAGCGACAGAACCAGACACAGACAGGCCAAGCAGTGCAGACCCTGTGTTGAGCAGCAGACTGGCAGTGCTCAGAAAGCCAAAAGGAACAGAGAAACAACACAAGAAGCTGGAACTGGCCAAGCAGCACAACCTGCAGCTGGATGTGGTGAGCTACTGGGACCTGCAAAGTGTGGGGAAAGGCTCTGGACTGGGAGAGGGGTCTGGCCACTT